GGGTTTGTCTTTGCTATTCTAGGTCTTTCCTCATTCTAAATAAATTTTGGGATTGTTTTCTCTGATTCTGTGAGATATGCTGTTAGAATTTTGATCAGGATAACATTAAATCTGTATAACAATTTTGGGAGGGTGGCCATTTTCACTATATTGGTTCTTCCTAACCAAGAACAAGGGATATTGTTCTCTTTTCTGATACCACTTTAATCTTCCTTTTCAGAGTACTGTAGTTTTCAAAGTAGACATCTTTTACTTCCTTCATTAGACTGAGTCCTAGGTATTTCATTTTTTTGGATGCTGTTTTGAAAAGTGTTATTTCCTGTGTGAATACTACATTGTATCTCTGGTGTGAGAAACCACAAATGTAAACAAGGACTAAAATGTATAATAGATATTGTGAAACAGGAAGAAAATGTTCAAATGGAAATGGGGACTAAGGAGGGGGAGGGGGAAAGAAAGGAAGACATAAGAAAAGAACAAACAAAGAAGGAAAAATGGAAACAAACCTTTTATAAATAAGGAGGAGAACAGGAGTTGAAAGGAGAGGAAGGGAATAGGAATAAAAGAAAAATCAAGGAATGTCATGTACAGGTACAAATTCCCTATGATAAATGTGATTATTATGTATATATCTAAAAGGTGCCAATAAACTTAATAATTTAAAACATTCCATACCACTTGGAAGACTTTCTCTCAAATTCAGTTACGCATGTTGCAACGTTCCAAGGAAGCAATTATCTTGAATCACTCTTTGTGTTTTTTAAGTACTGTAGAAAAGACTCATTAACTGGGGCCAAGTAATAACTTCACATTTCCAATCGTAGGTAGCCCTTCCTATTCCCTCCTTCCACGGTCTGACCAAGGCCTTTGTCGCCTACCGCACCTGACTCTTCCATACAATAAGTGATCCTCTGTGGGCCCTGGAGACTGGAGCGCACATGTCTACACTCTCCCTCATGGCAGTCGCTAATTCCAACTTGATTTCTTTACTACTGAGTGTTCCTGACAATGATCCTTGGGCTCTACAGTCTCAGACTGATGTTGCCAACAGTCTGATTGTTATGCCTGACCCTGACATAAGTGATTATCTCAGCAGCAGTTTACGTTACTGTCTTGATTACTTTTCTCTCGTTGCTGAGACAAAATACCCAACGCCCAAAATGAAGGAAGGAAAGGTTTATTTAGCTTACAGTTTGTGGAGGTTTCAGGCCATACTTGGCTGGCTCCGAGGCAGAAGGTAGCAAAACAACAAGAGCAAGGGGGAATGGCAGCCAAACAGCAAACAGCCAGAGCAAACGGGAGGAATGGTGGCAAACAGCTTCTTTCTTGCCTTACATCGTAAACAGCTACCCCCACCTAAGGGGCGTGTAGCTCTCACGTAATCTTTGCCCTCCTCTTCCACAGGCTCAGGATGTATACAAAGTAAGCACCTTGGCTTCCTGCTGAGTCACTTAGCCAAACCTCTAGACTCCCCAAGTTGACACAATGTATCAACCATAACAGTTACAGATAAAGAAATAAACCAGGTACACCTGTCCTTGTCATAGTTGATGTAATCACTCAATTTCTGTATTTCTCTCTTTCTCACAGTTTGGAAACTCCTGCAGCCGAAAACAAAGTTACAGTCATCGTAATGCTTAATATTTCAGAAGTCAGAAGTCTGTTTTATCTACACCCATTTACCTGTGTGGCCAAGAATGACTATAGTCACCAGGCAGCACACGTCAAGTTTATCCATCCAGGTAAACAACTATTTATTTGAAATGCATTTTTGTTGTTGTTTTATGTGGTACTTTGGTGCACAAACTTGATTTGTTTCCTGATTCTGGGGAAGGTGGCCATGTTCTGTTTGTTCTGATCCTGGGAATATTACCACCTCCCCCTGCATGCAAAGTTCACGAAGGGAAGCAAAATTCTGCAGAACGCTTCTGTTTGTGAACCGAATTGCGTGTGAACAGAAGCACTCCTGAACGGTGGTATTACTGTAAGATTCCACAACTTTGTGGTTTCCAGTCCTATTTCCTCTGCCTGGAACGAACACTCTTCACTTCCTCTGCACCTGGGCAGCATCTGATCCTTTTTCACTTCTCAAATGAAAGATACGCTCTACTAGGCCGCTCCTCCTGTCCTGCTGCCTGCCCTGAATCCAGCTCTCTGCCCAAACGGATAAGTTCAGGGCTTTCTTAGGTACTGGGGTAGCACCATATTACACCCACCATAGTATCTATTATATTTAGTTTTTTTCACTGTAAGTTCTTTAATAATGGTGACCATTTATCTTACTAATTATTCTATTTCCAGAGCTAATAGCAATTTAGGGCCTCTGTGCTGTAGATAACCTAGTGAATATTTTTAGGTAAATGGTCACATAGGGGAAGGCTACATAACTACTTTACAATAAGGATGTCAAAAGTCAGTGCTTTTCATGAATTGATAGAATCACAATGTTGAAATGTTTGTGAAATGTTTAAAAATAATCTGTAGCTGAATTAAAAATAAGCCATTCATAAATATGGATCTGGAAGAATATATAAAAGAACCTAAGATGAACTATCACAATTGGGAAATGAATTTAATAAGACCACTAGGAATCTTGCTATACTATCATCTCTATGTGTGCCTCAATACCAGTCACATACAATTAGAGAGTTAATTTTAAAATAACATTTTCAGTAGCAACTAAAATCATCAAAAATTTAAGAATAAATCTTGCAAATCTGTTTAAATCCTCTAATACTGTGTAAAAAGTTACTGCGATACCTCAGAGAAGGTCTAAATAGAAGGACATACAATGTTCCTCTTTTGGAAGACTATTGTGATGATGTCAGTTATCCCTAAATGCACTTAGAGATTCAAAAAGTTCCAGTCAACATCACAGCAGCATCTGTGTAAGTGTGGGTGTGTTTGTATGGCTGTGCAGTTGTGGCCACCCAGGTAAAAGTCACATGAAAAGGTAGATGACCAAGACTGCTCAAGATAATCTTGCATCAGAACAACAGATCTGGAGGATTCATCCTACAGATACCACGATCTCGTGGGGGAAGCTACAGTAACGACGTCTGTAAACATGCACTCTCTCCATTGGGTTGGTTGTGCATTAGTCTGGAACATGACGCATCTTACTTCTGCTTTGTGCCAAAATCAGTTCCAGATGGATCACATATCTAAGTGGGAAAAATAAAATGGCAAAGCTTTTAGAGTCTTCCTTCTGGGTGCCTGCATGTCCCCTGACTTTCTTCTTCTTCCTCTTGTTGATTCCTCTGCAGCCTCCTCTCCTCTACCCATCTTCTCTCCTCTGCGATCTTTGGATGAATGGTTAGAAAGGTGTCCCGGCAGAATGTGGAAGATTCCCTAAGCCCTGCTTCTTTCTTCTACATTTTGGCTTTTTCTGACTCTCCTAGCTCAGGAAATGTTTGTGGCTTCTGAGTGATTTTGACTTCCCGTTAAACCACGGAGGGCTCTGATCTATGGTCCTCAGGATTTTCTGTTTTTGTAGATTATGTAAGTTAGGTGGAAACTTAATAGAAGGTTTTACTATATAAAACTTGAGTTATATAGTATCCATGCTAGATTGCTTTGTACATTAGCATCCATTATTAGTGATAATGAAAGAGTCAATATTGTGAATACAAAGCTGACCCCAAATGTACTTTTCCTACAATGAATATGTTCAATTTTCTATGCTCAAGGTTTTAATTCTTTTCAGTTCTCATGTTTCTCCCCCCTTTTCTGCTCTAGTCCCTGATTTCCAGAAGTACGTGATTGGAGTGTTTGTCACATTGACATTTACAATTTCGTGCTCAGTTTTCATCTATAAAATCTTCAAGGTTGACATTGTGCTTTGGTACAGAGATTCCTGCTATGATTTTCTCCCCCCAAAAGGTATAATTTGGTTTTCTCCACAGTGTTTTCTCATTGGAGAGAGGGGATAGTTAGGACATGTTGAAGGTGACTGAGGGTTTTTTTTTACAGAAGGTTTAAAATGACAGGTAGTCACATGTACGGGAATAGTAGTTATTGTTAATGTAATTATGGTTTCTTTGACATAATTATAGTTTCATAACTGGCGAGGTTTTCTAAGTTACTTCTTTAGTACTGCATTGATGGGACAGACAAATACTCAGAAGTGTTTTGAGGAAGAGCTCTGTGCTATGTAGGATGTAAATCACTTAGTGATCCACTTTTAGGTGGAAAAAAATGACTAGTTCTTCATACATCAGGGAGACTTTCTCATGTCTTTTGTTAAAGCCTTGCAAAAGCCAGGGATAGTGGTGCATGGCTGTCATCCCAGCACTCTGAGAGACTGAGGCAAGAAGTTCATAAGTTTGAGTCCAGCCTGGACAACTTAGTGAGACCTTGTCTCAAAATAAAAATAAATAAAAAGGGCTGGGGATGTAGCTCAGCCCTGGGCTTAATTCCCAGGATTGCAAAAACAAAATGAAAGAAAACCTCTAATATCATAGTAATATATAAAAAGAAGAATGGGTAGAATTCAGGGCTGAGGTGTTGAGACTTTTGGGGAAGAAGATAAGAACAGCAAGATAAAGATATTGCCTAATGATTGTACGTGACATGGCCACCATGAGATGCTACAAAGACAACTTTGTAGAAAAAAGTCAACAGAACACTTGCACGAGGTAAACACTTTAAAAAGGTATTAAATTATTTCGGTATTGTTCCTTCAATCATGCCATTGTGCAAAAGAGATTAATAGTTCAGTATGAAGTGTGTGTTTGTAATATTGGCTTTAATCAATCATTTTCGCTCTTGGTTGTAAACACATTACATTTTCCCTTCAGCTTCCGATGGAAAGATCTACGATGCTTATGTTCTGTATCCAAAGACCCTCGCAGAAGGCTCCACCTTGAGCTCAGACATTTTTGTTTTTAAAATCTTGCCTGAGGTCTTGGAAAGACAGCTTGGCTATAAACTGTTCATTTATGGAAGGGATGACTATGCTGGGGAAGGTATGTATACAGTGCAGACGCCAAGAGGCCTGTTGTAAAATTAATTGCGAAATTTGGGTTCGTTCTTTTCAGTAGACTGTGGCATGTAGCTCCATCTATTTCACAGTTTTCCAAATCTCTTCTGTGATGTCCCATGATGATGTGAGCACTTGTTCAATGCAAAGAATTCACTTCTCCTACAGCTTGTTAGAGCAATAATTAAATGTATTTTTATTTCCATTGGAAATTGAATGACTAGATTCCATAGTTACTTTTCAGCTGGTATGAGAAAATGGTGTTACAGATCAGATGGTTGTAAAATTTTAAAAATTTCCCCTGAAAGTTTTCAGAGTTCTGGGTGGAATTCAGCTTTTGTGGGTCAGGTGTTGGGCTGGTCTGTTGTAGAATGTACAAAAGTCCTGTAGGACCGAAGCGAGGCAGAAAAATAGCATCAGAGATGGGATGGGAAGAACCTTGGGAGTGCGGTTCTGGAGAGAATGAGTATGGATCATTGACTGTAATTTTGGTTCTTCATGTTTTCCAGACATGATTGAGGTCACAAATGAAACCATCCGGCAAAGCAGAAGACTGATTATCATTTTAGTGAGAGACATAGCGGGCTTCAGCTGGCTGGGCCACTCGTCTGAAGAGCAAATTGTGATGTACAATGCCCTCATTAAGGAGGGAATTAAGGTTGTGCTGGTTGAGCTGGACAAAATCCAAGACTATGAGAAAATGCCAGAGTCCATTAAATTTATTAAGCAGAAACAAGGGGTCATCCGCTGGTCAGGGGACTTGAGAGAAGGACCACAGTCCACAAAGACCAGGTTCTGGAAGAACATCAGGTACCATATGCCAGCCCTGCCCCTGTCCCCCGCATCCCCACGGGAGTTACTAGCCCAGGCCAGCAGGCAGGACTCCATGGAGACGCTGCAGGGTGAGGTTCGCTTGCCACTTGGGTAGCTGGAGCTTCTGGCAGGGGATCTTTGGGTGCCTGTTGTCTTCAGGTGCTGCAGGACGGGCTGCACCCCTACTGACTTCTGTGGTCCAGCACGGGCCTGTCTAGTCCCTGGTCCACAAGGTCGCTTGGAGTCATATCATTGAGGGTGCAGGGCTTGGGGACAGTAGCGGCCCAGTGTGATTCAGAGCAGAGGCGTGGGCCTTGCTAACAGGTGATGGGTGCTCTCTCTGGTGCCCAAGCCACTGAAAAGAGGGACTGGGACTGTAAACTGAAGAAAAAGCATGCAGGCCGTGGCTGCCCCCTGTAGGCGGATTTATGAAGTTGTCCCCAGCCATGCTGGGAACCTCGCAGGGTCACGAGCCCCGGGGGGCTGTCCTGGGCCGCGCTGTAGGTGAAGTGAGACTCAACTCGTGGAGGAAGGCAATGTGTTCTTGCAGAACTTCCCTTGCTTTGCGTTTCCCATCCACATCCACATCCACATCCACATCATCCACATCCACATCCACATCCACATCCACTTCCACATCCACATCCACATCCACATCCACATCCACATCCACATCCTGCAGTCAGTTTCCAAGAGCCAGACTGTGTGCACTACGGTGACAACTGTCATTTCAGTGAAAAGGGATTCTGCGGGTCCCCAGGTGGTGAAGTCACCACAGCCTTCAGAGAAGGCAGAGGATCCGAAAGCAGTGGTGGTGGAGTCCGACCCCCTCTTCCTGCTGCCCTCCTGGGTCCCGTGAGAGCCCGTCCTGCCTTCCTCTCACCCATCTCACTTGGTTCCTCCTTGCTTTGCAAAGACAGCTCTGCGGGGGCTCCCTCCCCCTACTCTGTCACTAAATGTGGCACCCTCTCCCCTCCTGGTGGCTGTTGACACCTCTGTGATGTGCGTCCTGCTCAGGAGCCAGGGTCAGCTATCCCAGTGTCACCCCACCCTAGCTCCCCCACCTGGACTTCACCTGATGCGAACACCACGCGCCGCTGCTTGTGATTAATGGAATTCCTTGTGTGGGCTCCAGCTGACCAGGAGTCACTGAGATCCGGGTGCTTTGCTTCAGCCCGGTGGACCCCAGCAGCCCTCCCTCTAGACCCTCTGTCCCTCCTGTCCCTCCTGTCCCTCCTGTCCCTCTGCTAGTGCTGCCCAGGGGCTGCTGCTCCAGCAGGGGAGATGGGGGCATCTCTCTCTCTCACTTCCTTCCACGAGCAATTTGCACATATGATGTAGATTTCTGTAGTGCCTCATTGTTTAAAAATGTCGTCTGATAATTGTATTTAATTTTTTAAGTATTCTAATTTTATATGGAAGATATAAAACAAACAAAAAGACCTCATTTCTGTTGGCCCGAGGACTTGGGCTTCCCTTTCTGGCTTCTCATTCCGTGCCCTGAAGACTGGATTTCCAGTCACTAACTGACCCTTCCCACACTGCTGTGCTCAAGTGAGAAGAAATGGTAGTTTCCCAGGGGGCGATAGAGCCCGGGGGAATGATTTTATGAAGAAACAAATTTGAAACTTTTCCATGTTGGAATATGTGAAAATTATGTTTAGGTTTTACAAAAACCCTTTTCACCTCCATTTATTCTTTCCCTGAAGGTAACTCTTTCCTAGCCAAGTAAAATTAAAAGGAAATGGGGGTTTGGGGTATAGAAATAAATTATTTTTTAAAAATTCATGACAATCCTGAGGGTAAGCGGAGCAACTCCGGACAGCCTGGAAGTCAAGTTCACTTGTACTTGTGAGCCCTCAGCGGAGGGCTCACGCTGGGCTTTTGAGATTGTGTGAAGGGGGCTGGCATTGTGTTTTCATATTTTTAATTTTGTATGTTGTGGGTGAACACACACATGTACTTGGGACGACATTTCCCCTCCTCACCAAGTCTTCACAGCTCCTCCCTGCTTGTCTTCCCTTGGTCCTGGCTCACATCTGGGAAGAAGAAGGCGGCTTTGAGCTGCTGTTGGAACAAAGGCCCTGTGGTCATCTGGCAGCACATGGATGCCACCCGAAGTCCAGCAGGGTCGGGAGTGTCTGGACCCAACGACCCATGAGATGCCCTGAAAGCCTGATTTTGCCAGTGATGATGAGCTGATCATCTAGAGTACACCCTGGCACGCACAGTGCAGAGCGCAAGCCAATGCTGAAGCTCAGAGGTAGTGACGAAATAGGGAATGTAGGGACAACCAGGAACGCCGAGAGCATGGCGTCTGGGTTTAGGCGAGGACAAGGATCGAGTGATCGGCTCGGGTGCGGGGTTCCAAACAGAAAGCGCAGCGCCGCTCGGTCTCCGGGGTTCCCGAGGACGATGCTACGTTTCCGGCCCTGTGAGCTTCCTTCGAGTTATTACCGTCCCTTAATACAAAACCACAACTAAAACTGCCTTTAAAAAGTTCTTCCTTTCATGCTTTTCCCATTAACTGGATTTCACATTGCACTCTCTGATCGTACTTTTTAAAAAGTCAGCTTAAGAGTTGCGGAAGAGTTTGCAGATGCAACAGAAGTATTGAATTAGCAATGGCTAAACTGATTTAGCAGAACTTATATTTTCTCTCTCTTTTTTTTAAAATTTTACTTGCAAGACAAGAAACAATATTGAGCCATTTTTAAGATGACATTTTTGGTAAGTTATGGTTAATGATGTACTGGTTAATGATGAAGGTTTAAGCAACAGCAACAAAAATACACTTGTTTGTATAATTCTGCCGCAGATGCCAAGTGTGTTGTATCTTGAAACACCAAACGCCTGTGCAGTGCGTGTTTCCGTCAAGACTGTTCTCGATTCCCAATAAAATCGTGACACCGTGTGTTGAACACTGTTGGGAGCCTGTTTCTCCGCCTGCCCTCTACACAGCCGACCCCCGCGCATCCAAGCCAGGCTGGTTGCACTGTGTGGTGTGAACCGTTCCTGGGGGTGGGGACAGGGAACAGGGGCAGAGTTTGGGGGTTTCGGGGCCCAATAGAGCCCCTGGCTTCCACAGTACAGCGAACCTCGTCCACTGGCTCGCGTGCTTGTCTAATGGATTATAGCGTGAGTCTCACTTACTGGCCTCGGCCCTGACCCCCTCCCCATGACAAGGGCCACAGTCCTTGTGTGCAGATGGTCGCGGGCTTCTGTGCATATTCCTCTGACCCAGTGGTTGGGCATAAGTGGCAAATTTGGTCTCCATAAGGCACGTGCTAAAACTTGTGAGCTCTACCAATCAGAGCGTGGGCAGTTAAAGCTGGTGAGTGAGCTCCACCAATCAGGGCACTTGCAGCTCGCGAGCTCCACTAATCAGAGCCCTTGTGGCTAACACCGGTGAGCTCCAGCGATCTGAGCACTTGCAACCTCTGGGTGCTCCGCAGGAGCCCCGCGGTGCAGGGCCCGGGCAGGTGGCCGGTGGGCTTAGCGCAGCAGAAAGCCCCGGAGCTGCTGCCTCCTCTCACGTGGTGGGAAACCTTGCACGAACTCCTCGAGCCCGGGCTTCCTTACTGGGGGTATTACCTCACACACAGAATTGTGCAAGGATTGAAAGGACCAGGTACATTACCACAGGCCTAGCCTCACATCGGGCCTTAAAAAATGGCAGCTTCACCCCAGGCATGGTGGTGTAAACGCCTAGTGTCAGCACTTTGGGATGCCGAGGCAGGAGGATTACAAGTTCCAGTCTAACCTGGCCAACTTAGTGACTTAGCCAGACCCTATCTGCATAGCATAAAGAAATTAATTTATGTGTAAGGCTGAGGCTTACTGCTGAGGCCCGGGTTCAATTTCCAGTATTGCAAATAAAATAGATAGGTAGATAGATAGATAGATGACTAGCTTTGTTCATAACTATACTATCAATAAACTTGGTTCTTTTGAGTCCCATTAGAATATGCCAAATGAGGGCTAGGGAAGAATTATAAACAAGGATGTGTGTGGGGGGCAAGGGGGGACACAAACCCTATGAGATCCTAAAAATAGACAAAGCATAGGACATCCAGACCTACAAGGCAGAGGCCTGGGCCCTGCCCAGCCCACAGCCCCTCTGCAGCCCCAAAGGTGAAGGGTGGTAAATAAAGAAACTGGATCAACATGTGCCTGATCAACGTTTCCATAACCACTCAGTAAAGTTAGAAAGGCAAGAGTTTATACCAGTGTAGGAATTAGCTATCTAGAAAATTTGCCTGGGCAGGATGACTCATCGAAAGGTTTCCCGGAGCTCTGCATCACGTTTCTGTTCCTTTTCCAGCTAGTGAAGCTTTTAGCAAATTGTTAAAAGAATCAACCCTGGCTACCATCAAGAAGTCACATTTTCTGCTCTCTTGTATCAAATACATTTCCAATAAATGCCGAATAGCTTTACCTGGGGGTGGTCTCTGGAATAATTTCTCCACAGGAATCCCATCTGCTAGAAAAGATTTATAAGTTCTTGAACTGCCACGATTTTGAAACCAAAAGCCCTTTTTTAGTTGCTTTGACGCTAGTTGTGCTGTCTGTAAACAGGACTTCCTACATTCGAAGGTGTTCTAGGTAGGAAGCCTCTGTCCAGTACTGGGTAGAATCTCTCTATTTTTCTTACTTTTACCACTTGAATTCAGTTGGAATGAAAAGTTCTTTCCCTTTTACTAAAATGAAGTGCAAAAGATGAGTCACTGCAGAGGCAGGAATTCATAAAACAGGAAACAGTGCACATGAAAAACATACATATGAGCAGATAAGTCGGAGGGGGATTCGGGGGACATAACAGCAAGTGTTTTATAAACAAAGTGTAAAAGCTTGCATTGAGTGTGTGTGTGTGTGTGTGTGCGCGTGTGCCTGTGTGTCTTAAGGAGGGAAAGCACTACAGGAAATAAACGATTGTATTTAAAACGACCTTTCCCAACAAAAACATGCTCACCTTACCTCACAGTGTGCAGGGTTTCGCCGAGGAAGGCTGCAAATCCTGTCTGTTCACTTTAAATCTGAACCCCAAACATCAGCACAGCTGTCTCCCAAATCTGCAGCTGTTAGACCAGTTGAGCCTGTCCTGCTTGACTCCAGACTGACAGGAGCCCCTGCACTTTTCCAGGGCTGTCCTCAGGGAGGAGCGAGGTTAATTTACTCATAAACTCAATCCGTGAAGCTTGTGTGTCATAGAGCCTTTGACCTGGAAGTGATCCAAAGAATCATTTGGTTTCACTTCCGGGACTGGGAAGGACATCACTGATAACCACCCCACAGGGTCCCTTGGTTTTTCTTTTATTCAACAGGTTCTGGGAATGAGCTCATTTAGATTTTAGTACAGGGTACTGCAGTTTGCACAGGCCATGTTGTCACCTGAAAGCCTGGTCCTGACAGCAAGACACAGGCTCCATAATTCCTTGATCCTGTGTTCTTGGTACCCTTGAGTAAAGAATTCAGTCAAGGCACATGGGTGGCCACAAAGAGGTATAGGCAGAATTTCTTGTTAAATTGGTTATATAGACAGTTCCAGTTTCAATGGAGAAGGTGGGCAGTGCCATGAAGTCATCTACACCAAATGTGAGTTCAGGTAACACTTTATGCACTTAGAAAGTTATTCCTGGGGTTCAGAGAACTAGGGTCATTATGGTGCTGACCAGCATTTTACTTAGAATTTACTTTGGAGTTGTAAAATATCTCCCTGTCCTGTTTAGCATGGCAGTGTTTGCTCAAGAGCTTTAATCACGTAAAAAAACTTACCAAGGTAAGTTCTTAATTTAAAACAGGCCCAGCCCAAGGCAGGAGCATCTTCAAAGAACCATTTCTTTCCTGATATCACTGGACTGTAGCATGCCCTGTTTTTTATTTTTGTGTTCCTACATGATATGTTTTGATTCCTCTTTTTTCTCCAATGCCCCCTCTTCCCCTCTATCCACCTTTCCCTCCCTATTTACAAAGCTTTGTTTCCATTTTACCCTTTTTTCCTTTTCACTTCCCTCATTCTAGTTTCCCTTTCCTTTTGAACAATTTTTTTCCCATTTCACAATATTTATTGCATGTGTTATTTCTTATTTACTCTTTTAGTTTCTCACACCAGGGAGACAATGTGATGTTGACATGTATGAGTCTGATTTAGTTCATCTAAAAGTATGCTCTCAAGTAGCATTCATTTATCAAGAAATGCCTCAAATTTAGCTTTTTTATGGCAGAGTAGTATTCCATTATATATAAAAAAATTCCACATCTTCTTTATCCATCCCTCAGTTGATGGACATTTGGATTGTTTCCAAAATTTAGCTATTACAAACTGTGCTGCTATAAACATGAGAGCACATATATCTCTGTGGTATGATGTTTTTAATTCATCCAGGAAGACACCCAGAAGGTGAATATCTGGGTCAAATGGGACCCCTAATCCTAGTTTTTTGAGGAATTTCCATATTGATTTCAACAGTGATTGTACCAGCCTACACTCCCACCAGCAGCGGAAAATGGTTCCTTTTCCTGCACAGTCCCTCCAGCATTTGTTATGGGTTGATTTCTTGATGATAGCTATTCTTTCTGGAGTGAGATGGAATCTCAGTGTTATTCTAATTTGCATTGTTCAAGTGACCAGTGATGCTGAACATTTTTCATATATTTATTTGCCATTTGTATGCACTAAACTAAAATTGAACTGGATCAAAGAGCTAAATTTTAAAACAGAAACACTCAATCTGCTGGGAGAGAGAATAGGCAGAACTCTTGAAGATGTAGGTGTAGGCATCGATTTCATAAACAAAATCCCAACTGCACAGGCTATAATACAAAGAATCAATAACTGGGATCTCATCTTATTAAAACACTTTTGCATAACAAAAGAAATCACCAACAGAGTGAAAAGGCAAGCCACAGAGTGGGAAAAAAATCTTAGCCAGTGTTCCTTCAGACAAAGGACTAATTTCTGCACCATATAAAGAACTGGAAAAAATCAGACCTCCCAAATTTAAAAGACCCAGTCCAAAATGGGCATCTGAGATGAACATGCACTTCTCAGATGAAGAAATACAAATGCCTGTTTTGGATCTAGACAGCAAGGTGCTCTGTGGGGTTGCTTTGGGCCTGAGACCTAACAAAGTAACTAAAAGTGTTACACATTGATGTCTCTGTTTCTTTACTTACGTGGCAGTGCATGTGCTTTGGGCACACACACACACATGCACACACACTTGTTCCTCAGGCCCACTAATGTCTAACTCCTTGCCTAACAGCGTGGGAACCCACTTGTGGTGCACTCTTCCTGGGCTACTACACCGTGTTCTCTCCGCAGCCTTCCCTCTGGCTCGCTTCACTCCCCACCCTCAGACCGGCTTCTCCTTTGTCTCCAAGGCTGTTGCTGTTCAGGGCAGTTTCCCACTCTGCCTGGTTGCTTCCAAAGCCCTGTGCTTTCTAATACTGGACTCCGTCTCCTCAATTTCCAAAGCATTCAAGCTTCCTAAGATCCTTTGAGAAACACTCACCAGGTACTTGAGATCACATGGAGGAAATTACAAAGAAAGAAAAACATCAATCCAGGGAGAGGGTAGTGCGAGGAGAAAGTCGTTCAAGAGGCAAACTCGCGTGAGACAGGGTTTAATTCCCCGGCTGAAGTGTTCTGGCTTTAGTCTGGGGGAGCGGTAGCTGGCTGTTGGCTAGGCGGACCTGGACCTAGAGAATCAAGGTGACCTTGCACTGTTGTGAGTGGGATTAGGTACCAGGGAGAGGTGAACAGGGGCAGTGAACAGCTGGTATAGCAATTCCCTTGTGGGTTGATTATTGCATTATAAATGTTCTTTTTAAAAATAAAGTAGAAAATATCCATTTTTGTATTATAGAAGCAACATTAGTTTATGACAATGCAGAACTTTTTTCACGCCATAACCTACAGACGCTTGTTGAGTTCTCTTTATTAGACAGCATTGCATGGCTTTGCTAAGTGGCGGGGCCGGTTTGCCCTCTCATCTCAGCTGTAAATGAGAGCCAGGTGTGATGCATCCTCACCATCTTTGGAACTGTCCATCTTTATGATTTGATCCGTTTTTGTGGGTTTTAGTGGTACCAGAGTGTTACAGCTTGTGTCTAGATGTCCCGCCCACAGCCTCAGGCAGTCACAGGCTTTTTGGAGATGGCTGGATCGAGGTGTGTGCTGCTGGGATGCAGGGTGTGAAGCTGGGATTGATTCATGGTGCAAAGCTAGGACTGAGGCTGCCCCGCTCGGTGTGAGTAGCCTGGCCAGGATATAAGAGGCAGAAAGAGGGTTGTTGCCTGTCACTTGTTGCTTGCTTCCTAGCTACTTCACTGCTTTGCAGCCTTCTGCCCACCACAAACTGTTTCTCCTCTGCCATGCACCTCTGCAGGGCCACACTGCCCGTGGACTATGAACTGAAACCGCTACGCTGTGAGCTAAATAAGCCTTTCTTCCATTAACTCTGGGTATCAGGTTCAGCAAGAGAAGTAACTATGACAGGTAGCATTTATATATTTATTATCTTTTATAGATTATATTTTTCTGCTTTAAATTTTCTCAGAGATTTTTGACTCTACCCAGCATAATCTAACCTTCCTGTTTTCTTGGCATGATCTAGCTCTTGTCCACCTCTATAGCTTCGTTTCTCTGACTGCGGTCTCTTTTCCTACATTCTGGTCACACCAGTTTCATTTCTGTTTTTTTGAGATTTCTGAACTCTTTCCTCCTCCTGAGATTTTGCACGGGCTGCTCCTTGCCCCAGAGTGCTCCTTCCCCAGATGTCTGCTTGGTGGGCTCCCGTCACTGCTGGGACCTCACAATCCTGCTCCTTCTTCGGGGACACTTTCTTCAACTCCCATCACTCACCCTGCCTGAGGTCCTACGTGGTCCTCATCAATCTAAAGTCATCCTTTCAAATGTCCTTGTTTCTTAGATGATAGGATGCTGGTGAGCTTATGGGGCATCTTCTCTCCAGCTGTGCTTCCAGCAGTGACCACATCAGGCAGATGGCTGGGCCTGTGTAGGGCTTGAGGATGGAGGGAATGAATGAACCTGGGAATGAATGGGCCAGTGGGTGGGGCTGGGTGGAGGAGTCAGGCTGACGACTTCGGCATGGGGCACTCTTCACACTGCCCTCTTGTCTCCCAATGCTTCTTCTAGCTCGTTTCATCCCAGCAATCAAAGCCTGCTGTGGAACTGCCGCCCTGACTTCCATGCCCCAGAGAGGAGGTGGGAGAACTGGAGGGCTTTAAAGGTACAGAGGTCTTGGTAGAGCCCCATCCTCACATTCCAGCCCAGTGCTGGGTTTAGAACGTTGGATCAGTGCATGTGAACACGTTCTGCTCATTGTCCCCTGGGAAACTTTGCCTGCAGGTTACAGCCAAAGAAAGTTCATCAGATGTTCAGTTACAACAAACAAACGTACTCCTCATTCTGTAAAAAATGCACTTTATATAAACTCTTTGATAAAATTATTTTTCCGTATATGCATCGCATCTTGGTCTGAGGATGAAACAGATTGAAAGGAGATTCAGCCAATCAGAGTCATCAGTGTGCCCATCACACTGATGTGTGGCTTTATCTGCTAACAGGGGAGGGACAATCTGTAGAGAAAGCTGATTTATAACCTAGGAAACATAAACGAATAGGCAGTGTCACTGTCATGGCAAATGAGGAATGGTGTAAAGGACTAACACAGTCCTTCTGCGAAGAATGTCTTCAGGCTGCAAAGCGGGAGACAAGGAGGCTTGGTGGGCGATGACAACAACGGTGACGATGACAGTGAAGAACCAAGCACCTCGCACGGGTTGGGCTGCTCTGCAGCTTTCACAAGGGCCATGAGGGTGCAAGGGTGCTGCTGGGCCCCCTCACAGGACTGGGGAAGATGGGGAGGCAGGTCTGTGCCTCCTGGGAAGGGGGCTTCAGAGGTGGAATGTAGTGAACTCCCTACAAATGGACCAGTGGAAGGCAAAACACCAAGTGCATAAAATAGAGAAGGACATTCACGTGGAGGATGTATCGTGGCTGGGGACCACAGGCAAAGATGTTCCACTTTACTAGTAATTAGGAAGTGGTGAAGTCCCAAGATAGCTTTCCACCACCACGGTGGTGAAATGCGCAATACTGAAAATTCTGACACAAGGATACGAGGCAATGGGACACCTCTCCTTGAAGAACACCACTATGGAGAAAAATTAGGAATTTGCTACAGTTAAAGATGCATCTGTCCAGTAACCGCACTTGAATATCCATGCAAGAGGACATTACAGCACTGTTTATAAGAACAAGATATACAGCTGGAACAGCCTAACTGTCCAAAGAAGACGGACATGTAATTTGTGGTGTATTCATACGATGGGATCCTATGTAGCTGTGAGTTTGAGTCAAGTGGAACAACACTCTCAAAATGCTGAATCTCAAAATGTACAAAGCAAATGGTAGGAACATACAATATGAGTGCTTCTGATTTAAAGACTCAAAGACCTACAGAAGAGCACCTTATGTTACTTAACGGACACAGATGTGCGTGCGCGTGCACACACACACACACACACACCCCAGCATGCTGAGTCCCCAGTTGTGGGCAATAGGAGCTGTGGGAGCCACATATTTAAGAAGCTCTGTTTCTGATGCTGAATCTTTTTTTAACATTGCTTCAGATCATTTTGAATTATGTAGCTCTTAAACATTGCACGATAAGATGCTTATTTCAAAAGAAAATTCTTACAGGGAAAAAAAGCATTTTATTTTGGAGACAGGGTCTCACTATGTAGTTCAGGCTAGCTTTGAATTTCTTATGTGGCCCAAGCTAGCCTTGAACTCCAGGCTGTGGAAGACATCAAGACTGCTTTCCTCAACAGAAAAGCAGTTGTCTCCATTTTGGCTAAAACTGGCCCTATCTCCATGTATTAATATTTACAGAGTTGGCTAGGATTTGTCTTTATCCCCTCAATTGGCTTTAAGCAATGCAAATAGGTCTAGCAGGTGCTGACACATGATCTTTAAAGTGACGTGACAGGTTAGTGATGCCCTGCCTGTAGCTCCCAAGTAGCATGTGTGAGCTAGGCTGAGTGACGCCACCCTCTTAGCTGGGATTGAGCTTCCAGAAAGAGGCTGTGACATTTCAGGGCATGGGGATTACACATCAAAACTGAAGCACCAACCCCCGAACATTAGATACTGCCCTAATCTGTGTTATGCAGATTACTCCTTCTGCAGATCCTTCTCTCTGCATATCGCAGAGGTGATTTCAGGCCTCCTGCCTAGCCCAGCTCACAGCACTCACCTCCCTCCCACCACCCTCTCAGTCACTCATCCTCAAGCTACTCTTTTTTCAGGAATTAATAAAACCCGGGTTTGGCCCTGGGTCAAGGCCTTAGTTCCGGATGGCCAGCATACTGTTCTAGCTGGGCTTAGGACCCCTTGGCTCTCTACAACTACAAATGTGCCTTAGTGTCTTTATTCTCACCGTGGTTTGCATTGGAAGTGGTAGACTGGAATTACTGGAATTCCAGTAACTTTCCCCTGGGATTACAAATGTGGAATGGGGACCTCAAGGAGGTCTGGAAGGGTTTCCTGTACACCGCGATTTTCCTGCCTCAGAGAATTTTGAAGTGACAGAATTCAGGAAGTTTCAGCCTAATACCCTGATCTGCATGATCATCACAGAGCAAACCTGAACTCGCCGCCAGCAACCTCTGCGACTCAGATTCATCTGAATTCCTCCCTTCCCTTTGCTCTTCAGCCAGCGATGCTCCCTTGTTTCTGGGCTTTCTCAGGGTAATGGGAAGCCTGCAGTAAATGTTACAGCTTCTATTGCTTTAATTTTTTAAAAATTGTGCCTTAGTTAAGCATGTGTGTGATTAGCGGGCAGGAATGGTACACGTTAGTGGATTTAGTTCGATGCTTCAGTAAATGCACACCACACGCACTGATCCAGTGCAGCCTTCCTCCGCGCTCCACCCCCAGGCCACGACTCCACACTCGGGAACTTTTTGCTTTTTGGTTGAGGAAACATGTAAGGCTTGCTTTTTCTGTGTCTGACTTACTTAACACATTTTTAATTTCAAAGCTTCAAACCCCCAAATCGGTTCTGTGTTCAAAATCAAGGGATTTGTATTCTACCTGTCAGAAAATGCATTCAGCATGGAGACCATCCGTGGAGGAGTAAGTTTCAGGCTCCCGAGGCACTGGCGGAATGCAATGTCAGTAACATTCAGTAAGAACCGGTGCTGCGGCTGGGGGAGGGCCTGTCTTAACTTCACCGAACCCTTTGGGGCAATTATTCCAGCTGGAGTTGGCATGCACATCAACTCTCAGCTAGAAAAACAAGACAAGACACAAAAGCATGCATTCATCAGGTGAAGTTGGAAAAGGGTAGCATAATAAAAGTTTAAGAAATACACTTTAAAAAAAAAAAATCAAGAAATACCCTTCAAATGCCCTGTGTGGTGGCTGGCACAGGCCTGAAATCCCAGCACTCAAGAGGCTGAGGCAATAGGATTCCCATGAGTTTGAGGCCAGCCTGGGGTACATAGTGAGCTCAAGGCCAGCCTGAATTACATAGTGAGACCTTGTCTCAAAAAAGCAAAAAAACAAAACACAAAACAAAACGAGGAAGGAGGGAATAGCCTTCAAAACTGCTCATAGCAATAATTCTGTATATGAATCACATTTTTAATAGTAATGCTTTTCTTAGGGTTATGGACATAAACCTCAAAGGGAATCTGTGTATAAAGCATCTTCATCCAGTGCTGATGTTATGGGAGGATAATAGATCTCCACTTACGGCTGAACAAGGAGGTCCTCAAAGTGTAGGCACACAAAGGATCTCCAGGATGCCCTTCAAACACGTCTGTGAAACCAAAGCCTTCCAGAACCACGTTAAGGCTTCCTTTAACCTCTTTCCTCTCCTCTCTGGAATGTGCTGGTTTTTGCCAGCGATGATGCGACACATTACATCGTAAGAGAGTGACTTCAGAAGCAGGTCGGAGAGTTCCACTTAATCTTCTATGACGCCAAACATTCAAGAGATTTGCTGAAGTGTAGGCCACCGCCGCTTTTCTCAGCAAGTCTGTTTTAGGAAGTGTTAGTCACTTTTGGTAAAATGTATGATACTTATGTGAACGTGCAAAGGGGTTATTGTTATGAAGATAAATCTGAAAGCAAATGTCAAAAAAGTCCCCAACCCTGCACCTCACATAAACAAGTGTGCTATGAGGTCCTCACCACCCAGGGTGTAGAAATTCGTGAGCCCCGGGCCCCTCCCGGAAGCCTGGCTGGTACCGCCACCCGGGCCCTGTGGTGGCTTTGGCGTCACTGTCTCCACCCTGGGAAGGCTCCGGGGCAGCCTCACTGGGCACGTTTGGTGTCTCCACCCACACCTAGTGGCCGGGCCAGCAGGTCCCTCAGGTATGGTCCTAGGACAAGTTTAGGGGGCAACAGTCTCACTGTGGGATGCCTGCCTCACTGAAGTCCGGGAGCAGGGCTCAGCCTGACGACACGCCTACGCAGGATGGCTTCCACTCCGGGGACCTCCCACCGGGGCCAGTGTAGGACAGGAAGTAACTGCGGCCGTGGGATTTGGGAAGGACCGAATAATGCATTTACAGGGACACTCTGGAGTGGATTTAAGTAGACTTCCCCGGGGATGAAGAGCTTGTGAGCTGCCAGGAAACCAGGGGAAAAGGCTTTAACCCGCTTCCTCCCGCATGGGGTGCACTCCCGCAGGTAGGTCTCCCGCCCACGCCCACGGTGGAGTGGAAACACCCAGCTTGGAAATGCGCTGCGAGCCAGGTCCCTGCCTCGCCTCTGTCTCCCGAGCCCTGCGCCTCGGATCCCAGGGGAGCTAGGGGCCAGGCGCCACCGCAGGGGAGAGGGGCCAGGCGTGCCAGGCGGGGCTCCTCCCGGTTTTCCTGCCCGCCCTCCCAGGGCATCTGGGCAGCGTCTGCGGGTGAGCGGGACCGGGGTTCGGGCGTGCACGGCGGGCACGGGCGGGTTCCGAGGCCGCGGTGGCCCTCAGCCTCTCCCCAGGCTGTAGACGGGGGCCCCACGGGTCCCCGCGCCTCCCGGCCCCTGTGGGCCCTGGACTTTCCCCGCGCGCAGCGTTTAGTGGGGACTTGGGGGGCCCGTGGGCTCAAGGCGGGGCTCCCCGCGGGAGGGTGCGATCGGGCCTGCGTGGGGACCCCAGCCGCCCCCGCTTTCTCCCCGCAGCCGCGATGC